CGGCGAGGACATTCCGACGTTCGCGGTAAACGCCCTTCCGCACACCGCAGCATCAACGAAGTCAAATCCTCTACTAACGGGGGTTCACTCACTGGTTGCATGGAAAGGAAATGCTCGATCCTCGCTCGAAACTCAGTCCAGTCAGCTTTTCTGAAATTCCAGCGATGTGGTCAAGAACCAATCAAAAACGTCGGCCCGGTACTTGATCCAGATGAGAAAGTTGAGCGCCAGCGTCAGCAAGTAGAGTGAGCATATGGTGATCGTATGGCAGTGTAAGAGCACTTTGACCGGGACGGCTTGAAACTTCGTGTTTAAAATCAGCCTTTGAGCAGACACACCGTGGCGCACGACCAGGAGAACGCCACTGTGGGCAACAGGGTCGGCTGGTAAATCTCGCCGTCGAACAGCATAACCCGAAAGACCAAAAACGCTGTCGTGTGCCAGTTTTGCCTCCTGGAGACCTATCACCGTCGGACACCGCTCGTTAACGCATGCTGGGAGATCCTGGTAGCTTGCTCTTTCGCCTCTCAAGTTCCACTGCAAAGTATTCGTCATGGAGCTAAAAGGTGAGGATGGTCCTTAGCTTCCTCCCACTCCGCGGTAACGACGCCGACAGGAGGGAGAGCATGTGTTTGGGTTGCAAATGTAAAATAGACTTGCTTTAAAAGTGCTCGGGCAGCAGACCCAGACGGTCCAGCTACAGAGTTCAAGAACCCACCGAGGTCCGATCCCACCAACGCCGGCCGGGTTCTGGGCCGAATACGTGGGCTGCCGTCTGTGGACGAGATTGGGCAGGGAGGGCCACGCTTTTCCGGGCGCCCCACTCCAGACGGAAACAGTGCCGGCGAAGCTGTGACCCTAGATGGCGGCGCCGGGAGAGGACCCATTGGTTGCCTTCGAACCCCGGATGATCCACCAGGGGGCCTCCCCGCGTCGTCTGGGCGGTGGACCAGCTTCCCCGCGGGAGCGAGTTCCCGATCTGTCCCCCCCCCCCCCCCACAGCCAGTTAATCGCCTTCGTCCCGTCTTGCTCAACCATACGCGCCCGCTTGGCTTCGCGGGAGCGCCGGTCAGCTCCATGACGATCCATCATTTACTACACATTCACAGGTACTGGCGAGGGGTGTCTGCGATGAGGAGACCGGCGGAGTCTCAAACGAAGGAATGCCCGACGGTGTGCGACGGCTGCAGCCACGCCGAACCGTCGTCCAACGGTCATTCGTTGGCGATCCAACCGGCGGCGAGCAGGCCGGCAGCCACCGACTGCTCGGTTAGTGGGGAGGGAGCTTGGGGTGCTGGCTGCGAGTCCAGCGCGCGTGCGAAGGGTACAACTGATGGACCAAATGACTTCAGAAGTTCCGGAAACTGAACAGCTGTCGTTTGCTCGATCACATTAGTGTGCGGCAACGAAGCTTTCACTTTCGATGCGTGCAATATTTTTGGGTGGGTTTCGTTATAAAGTTCTCGAGCCTCAAGGAAAGATACATTTTTAGGAGTTGTCGTTGATATGATTTCCTTTTCCTCGGCGTAGGCTGGACATGCACGGTCATGCGACGCATGCGGAGCCTGGTCCTCGCCGCAGCCTCCCATTGCCAAAATGCTGGTGTCACCGTGCCGTGGACGCTGACTAACAGCCGGTGTATTTCTATTTTTCTCGTAACTCGTGGAAAAAAGCAATAGCACTTTCGCTAGCTCGGCCCCAAAGATAACGATTACGTGAAAAGAGCTGCGAAGGCGAAACTGCCTCCAAGCTTAATGGCCTTAGGTCAGTTTAACTCCCGGTTTGAATGGCTTGATAGTGATTTTTCCGCACTTTCCCGGGCGGCGCATAACAGCCGTTTAGTATAATCGCATGACCCTGTTTGACAGCGCGTGGCTTATACTACCTTCTGAGTTTCTTATCTTCTCATTTGGAAGATTTGTTGTCATTTTGGTGATGTGGCGTATGTTAAAATGTAGAAACTACCCATTTAATATTTCACGTTGGACCAGCGCTACCTGAGGTGAAGTTACCACGAACCATCTTCCGGTTTGTTACAAACCAGCTGCATGTCAGTATAGCTCGGCCGGGATATTTTGACGTGCTATGACCTTAACCTACATAAATGGACCTGACCTTGGTTCGTATTTGACTTTGGAGTCAGGCATCATGCTTTTTTATTTGGCCTGTAACAACGTTCGTTGTCATTCCTCACCACATCGTGGAAACTCCTTTGACCTCGCATGACCGTCGTCGACTAAGACGTGGACCGGTCTATCTTAGGCTAACATCCTCCCAAGAAACATTCAGTAGGAAAAAAACTACGAAGCCTGTGTGCTAATGTGCTAATTCAATCTTGCATGTTGTTGTCTTCCTTGACATTGAGGGTCAAGTGATAAAACTTTTTCCGCCTGCTAGGTCATCGTTATTCAATATTCCCGGTGGTGCCGCCCGTTGTCAGATAGCAACACAAAGCGCACAGTACTTCCTTGAACCAACATTCCGAATGAAAAACACTGGACGTGATTTACCAAACTTTTTCGTCGTATTTTCGTGATGGAATGCGATATTGCTGCATCTAAAACATCGCGGCGGTAAAACATCACTTTTTTACACCAATGTAAACAAGTGCTGAACGCTCGATGTAAAGAGCCGAGCGTTGGCTCCCAACGGCGTGGCACACACTACGGGGGGGGGGGGGCTGTCCGGCGTTTGCTCCTAACAGCATTATACACACCATGCAGGGTTGTCCAGTGTATCTCTCCGTGTCACAACTCACCCGGTGCTGGCGGAGTGGCGCACGCGCGGCGTTTCTGACGCGACAGCGGCCGCTCTGCAGGCCGTCCCAGGACCCCTGAGGCCTCCGCCGCACCGGCGATCCAAGCGCGCAATACACGGGGCGCGGCGCGGACCGGAAGGATGGCCCCGAGGAGTGAGAAGCAAGGAGGAGGCTTATGCCGCCTGAGGTGCCTTCAACCAAAACTGACCACTGGCCGGGGGGTCACCGACCAAGGCTGACTCCTCTGGCTGGGGGTGCCACCGACCAAAGCTGACACCTCTGACCGGGGTTGTCGCTGAAAGCTGACACCCCTGGCCTGGGGTGTCACCGACCAAAGCTGACACATCTGGCCGGGGTCGTCGAAAGCTGACACACCTGGCCGGGGTGTCACCGACCAAAGCCGGTCCCCAAGCCCACAACTGCGTCCTCCTCTGGAATCGACCCGGCGCGTGGCGGCTCTCGTCGCCCGGCTGGGCAGTGAGATGTGCGGCCAGACTCGGGGCGCGTGGCGGCTCTCGTCGCCCGGCTGGGCAGTGAGATGTGCGGCCAGACTCGGGATAGGCCATCTGTCTCCTTCTGCTTCAACTGCTCTACGTGCTCCGTGAATGGCAGTACGTCGATCGCTGTGAGCCCCACTCGCT